TGGTGACCTTTTAAATTAAACTCTCCACCATATTAAATCAAGGGTAAGATATGTGCAGTATTCAGTTTTATTCAGCACCACGCACAGCCAAAAACCAGGGCAAAGAGGCCACTGAGTGGCATAATGCACCACTAAGTGTTTTTCTTGGATACAAATTTCCTACTTCACTTGTTGTAGGGTGGTTTCTATCTGTTTGAATCCCCTGGGGCCATAATTGGCTACAATATCCAAAGTTTTTCACAATTTGGAAACTATCTTTAAATTCCATACACCTGTCGCTCTACTACCATGAGTGAGCTGCCTCTAGGACCCTCACTGGGACCTCTCCTCTTGGAAACCAATTCATCCTCATCTATTGCAAGGTGGACACAGTTTCAGTTCTTAAACACTTTCGTTTGAGTAAGGGACACATGCTATGAAGGCCAGAGTGAGCCAGGCCGGATAGCAAGACCCTAAACAATGAAGAAATGGAACAGAATTGGTAATTTTCCTAGACCCAATTTAGGCTATCAGAAGCTGGAAAAGGGGGCCACCTAGGGGCATGTGAGCAAGGATCACCTATTTCTGGGCTCAAATTATTGCTTCTGAGCAAGATCCAATGGGAAGTTGGCTTTCAGATGGTCATGGTTCCTCTATTGCATGCTGTGAGAGTCCATAGCCCCACCTTTTAGCAAAAGACTTCAGTGACATCACACCAGCAATTACAGCAATTACTAGATAGACAGTTCTAGTCATTAAATATAGGATGCCTGGAAGGACAATATGCCTTTATCACAAAGTGGCCTTTCAGAAAAAGTCCTGTATTTGTTTGCAGTTGTAATTTCCCTTAATTTAATAAAAATGTTCTTAGTTGTTTTAGAAATTGCAAGTGTTGGAGAAGTGTTCCTTATATAATCTGCTTTTTTCCTTCTCAGACTTGACCTAATTTAAACTAGAAACATTTTCTTTATCTTTTTTCTTAATTTGCAAAAATAAAGAAAGAAAAAACAAAAAAATGCTAGTCTATCTAGATAGGAGGTTTTTATTTCTCTCTCTGATTTTCAAGCTCATTTAAGCTAGGGAGGTGGTTTGTCTTTTAAAGGTAATCAAAGGATTTTAGAAAATTGATCCAATGCAAACATAAATTGTCTTTCGAGAACTCTGAGCCGACAGCCAAGGACAGGGTTGTCTGGGAGGTCACAGGGGCCCCAAGAAGGAATGTGCATTTGGTTCTCTGCATTTTTGTCCCCTGTGCACGTTCCTGTGACCACTGCCACAGTCAAGATACAGCACTCTCATCACAGGGACCCTGAGCTGCCCTTTCCCAGCCATCATCACCCTCCCGCCTCCCACCTTAGTCCCTGACAGCCACTCTGTTCTCCAGCTCTGTGATTTAGTCATTCCCGGAATGCTTTTCAGGTGGAATCCTAAATTATGAAACCTCTGAGACTGGTCTTTCTCACTTACCATAATTCCCTTCAGCTCCGTGCAAAGGGCTACAGGATCAATAGTTCGTTCCCTTTTACTGGTGAGTACCTGGTATGAATGAATATACCATTTAGTTTGAGCAGCTAAGGTGTCTGTTGAGAGGCATCATCTGAAACTGAAGACTGACTCACAGGAACACACCACTGACTGACGTGTGAACTCACCCAGCGGCGCCCCCGTAACTGTAACTGTAATTAGCAATATCTCTGCACACACCACCGCCTGCCTCTGTCTGACGCGTCAGTTCCCAGAGGTTCAGCAGCTGGATCCGTGGGTCCCCATCACAGGGGCCACTGAGGGCAGGGAGGTCACTGCAGCAGCACCAGCACCAGCCAGATATCTGGAATTTAAGAGTGAGATACTTCTTTAATTTTCCATAAAACCATCATAAAATTCCTAATGTGGAGAGTAGCTGTGTCAGATGCTCATATTTGTATTAGTTGAAGTTGTACACTTAACGTTTCTTGTGGATTTGGTAAATTTAGATTTGCCTCTAAAATAGAAGCATTTATACACCAAAGAAAATTAAAAGTGGGACTAATCCAAATACGTAAATAGATCTGCTTAATTTGGTTGTTTGTAAAATTTGCTGTAATTAACTGTATATTTCTAACATATTTGGAAGACTGGAAGGTTTGATTACATGTTGATGGTTAAAACTAGTTTTCTGAAAAAATTAAGTAACTGAGATAGTGCTGCTTCACAATGTCACCTTTCTCCCTAACCAGCTTATTTATTTTGCCATTCTTTAGTGCATTTGAAAGGAAGTTGTCATGGAAGTTCATATTAGAGCTTTTAGACACCTTCCTGTCAATCTGCCCGTTATTATTTCTCTATGACCCTACAGATGCTCCTCAGCTTACAGTGGGGTTGCATCCTCATAGGCCCATTGTAAATTGAAAATGTGTTAAATTTATACCTAAAAACAATAACTTGGGCCAGGGATTTAGCTCAGTGGTGGCACCACATGCGTTGCAAGCACAAGATCCTGAGTTCTACCCCCATTACCAAAAAAAAAGCAAGAAAAGAAAGAAAAGCAGTAACTCTGTTGACGAACTGAAATTACATGCTACTTGCCATTGAAGTTTCATTCCATATGGAACAACTGAAATAATGTTTTTCTAAGGTAAAATCAGGATACATGGTCTTTCATTTTGAAGAAATGGAGCATCCAAAAAGTGTTGTATTTTGAAAAGGGAATGTATGGTGGATATTCATGTAGTCCATCGTCACATATATAAAATGCCTTCTGCACATTTTGAGTCTGACCAGAAAACCCCTGCAGTACTGGTGATTAAACCCAAGACTTCACACATTCTAGATGAGTGCTCTACCCAATCTACATCTCCAGCCCTAAACTTATTATCAAATTCTGTTACACAGTTCTTCACAAACAGAAGACTAGAGTCGTAAACAATCATCCACGGACCCATCATTGAGGTTTGACATCAAACAGTTTGGCCAGTCTGGTTCATTTCCCCCCACCATTTCAAAGTATACCTTTCTAGCTCATGACAGATATATCAGAAATGAGCATCTCTGAGAGAATTACTCATTCCTTACTGTTATCTGACTCCCAGTAATAGTCACATTTTCAGATTGTATCAATGGTGTGTCTTTTCACACCCTTGGTTGATTCAGATCAGGACCCGAATGTTGCATTTGCTTGGGTTTCTGTGCCGATCAGTTTCCTCTGCTATTAGACCACTCACTGCCATGTCCCTTCCTTGCTCTGTGAGAGTCCTGAAGACTATAACCCTGGCACCCAACTGAGCTCAGCCAATCCCCTCCCCTGGACTCTCAGGGACTCTGCCAAGCCACGGCATCTGCACATTTCTCAAAGAGTGACAAGTTGGGCACTGTGTGGAGCCATGCAGCGGGCTTCTCAGGGCTGAGGCTGCTCAGACCCTGGCGGGTGAGAGTGTGCAGATCAGGAGCCCCAGGCTGGCAGTGGTGGGTGAACCCAGAGGAGGTGCTCTGGACTCGAAGCCTGGCACTAGTGGTTCTTAGCGTGCGAAGGAGTGAATTCTGCAAGAGCTCCGAGTGGCCCTCGGCAGGGCAGGGGATTGGGGCACTGTTCTTTGGAGAAGGAAGTGAGCCTGCAAGGCTCACACAGCAAGTACAGGTCAGAAACGAGGGCTTCAGACCCACACTTTGGCGTCATTCCTAGTGACGTTCGAATCATCATCGCACGCATGGAGCTTGGAGGTCTCTGTGTGAGTGACCTCAGGAGAGCTTGTCACGTGTTCAGGAAGCAGTTGGGATCTACTGATAAGTTGAGCCATGAGAAGTCACGTGAATATGAAAATGTGGACGTAAAATGTAACAATCTGGTGATTCAACCATGTGCTTTAAGTCCCCATGACTTCTGAGAGTGGACAGATGGTGGGCGCTAGTGCCCTGGATTGGGCAGGGCATCCAAGGACAGGGATCCACGGGAGAGTCCAGGCAGCAGGGATCCCTGCCAGGCCCATTGGGCTCCTGGCTGCTGCAGCCCTTCAGCAGGGCCTTGGAGCCCAGGATGGAGCAGCCTGGCCATGTGACAAAGCCCATCCCAGGATGGACTAAGGCCACATCACCAGCCCCCAGTGTCCCTGGGAGACCATGGGGAGCCTGTGGGGGAGAATCCAGGTGCATGGAGCCCTAGGCTGAGCCTAGCCGGGGTGAGCAAGGAGAGGCTTGGGAACTGACAGGTGCTGTCCTTCGTCTTCCATAGCCCAGCGGTCCAGGTCATGAACTTCCAGAGCCACCTGTAGCACCATGGCAACATGTACAGTGAGGAGAAGGGACACAGGGTAAGGGCCTTGGGCCTCGTGGTACTGGTGAGTTTGAGGAGACAGAGGCTGGACCCAGAGCCCCTGCTGGGGAGAAGCCAGTGCTCCTGTGAGGAGATGGGTGAGGCTTCTAGGGCAGCAATGGAGGGGAAGGAGCAAGGCTGGTGCCCTGTCTAGCCCCGGGGAGGAAGGGCTGTACACATAGCCCAGTGCTGCTGGTTTCATGCAATCTCCTCTGAGATGCTGGGACCAGACTTGGTGAGGTGACCAAATGGGGTGGAAAAAAGAACAGAAAAAGGAAAGAGAATGGGACAGATAGGGCACATGACCATCCCCCATGTCTGGCTGGAGGTGCAGCAGCTCCCTGCCAGGTGGAGAGCAGGCACCCCTGGGAGCAGCAGGAGGGGCATGGCCAGGCCTGCAGGGGGCGCTAAAGTGTGGGCAGTGAGGGCTGTGTGTGTATTGGGGGTGGATTCATGGATTCGGAGGACCCTAGGTGGATCCTGGGGCCTTGAGCTGGCATCTGAGCCACACAGCTCCCTCGTGATTCCCAGGCAGGATGGGAGATTTCTGGGCAGAGGGGCCCGGGGCCTGTGGGATGAGGCATCAGCCGTGGTCACCCTCCCAGCACAGGCTGCGCAGCACAGGCCCTCACACCTGTGGGTGCAGGGACACCGGGACACGCTGTGACCTGGTCCACTCAACCTCAGGGCACAAAGGGAGACTCAGACACAGGGGGAAGGATTGGCAGGTCACACGTAGGTGTTAATGTTGTTTAATGTCACCAGGAGGGGACTTGGACTGGTTGGGAGACTGAAGCCTGAGATCAGTTACTTCTGTGTGGGATCCATCACTTTTCCTACGAAGAGGGGACTGTAGGTGGAGTGGTCAATGATGGTGAAGATGAAAGGGCGGATGAAGTACACATTAGGGGGCATAGACATGGGTATCGCCTCCAACACTGTGGCCCCTGCAGCCTCTGTTCCCTTCTCATCAATGGTCAGCACCGCCTTGTGCACGGCCTGGAGGGAAGAGAGGAAGAGGCAGGCGCTGAGGCTGGGCGTCCCCACCCAGGCTGGAACAAGGGCCGAGTGGAGGCTCTTCCCAGCATGGCCTCACAAGAGCCTTTCTCTTCCTGGATGGTCCTGCCCTGCTCAAAGTCCCCTCCCTGCATGGTCATGAGGCCTCTCCCCATCTCAGCCTTTGCCCGACCTGGCCAGCTTTCCTTCAGCTCCCATTCTAACTGCCATCTGTCACATCCTGAACACAACCTTCATATTCAGGAGAGAGTCATGTGGATGCCATGCCTCTCCACATGTCTCCCCTCTCCAGGGTATGGTGCTGACCTCCTGAAACGAGGACTAGGCTGGTGACACCTTCCCAGACCCCATGAGTGCACAGCCCACACTGACCTATACCTGCTCCTTGTCACCTTTGATTTTCCTGAACCACTGGTGTCTTTGGCCGAGCGCATTCACAATTGAGACCTAGTGGGTCACTGGTCGGGAAGATTCCAGAACATTCTGTGCAGTGACTGAGGCTAAATAAGCCCCTCTATATGAATGTGGGTGAACTGAGGCCCCAGGACCTGAGGGTCCTAAGAGAAGATGAGACTGAACAGAGGTCCCTACACATCTGCCAGCACAAGAACCCACCTCCCCAGCTCTGTCCGCTCACGGTGTTCTGTCCCACTGAATCCTGTGTTTCCTGAGGAGGAGCTCAGCCTGGACCTGGCACGTGTCCCTGCTCCCTTTCCTCTTCCTCTTGCAGACTCATGTCCTACACCCTATGTTGCCCTACAGACACCTACGCCATCACCTTTGTCATGTGACCTCACCTTGGAGAGCTTGAGGGGAGCATCCTTTGTGACCCCTGAGAGGTCAGCAGCATTGCTGAAGATGTTGGTGATGCCCAGGTTGCCCAGGACTATCTTCAGGTCGTAGTTTCCGGAAATGGACAGTTTGGGGAAATGTAAATTGGCAGACCTGGCATGACAGGAGAAATGGAGATGCTCAGCATTTCTCGTGTTCTGCTGGGACCTCCGCGTGTGACAGTGTTCCTTTCTCCTTGTGTCTCCCATTAGTGTCATATCCCTGCACAGCAGGTTGGGACACTGCCTTGATTTGTTGGTGTTGCCTCTTCCTCTGTCCCAGGGGCAGAGAACACTAACATCATGGGGACCACGTGTCCTGGCAGCCTCTGAGATGCTACCCCTTCTGCAAACCTTGGGGCAGTTGCAGGCAGGCATCATCCTGCCCTGCAGAGTTTGGTCACCCCGCTCTCCCAGCCAGGGATCTTCTGTGGCCTGACCCCAGGGGAGATGGGTCACTGTGGCAGGGGCTGAGTGACACTCACTCAGAGCAGAGATGAGAGGGACCTCACAAGGTGGAAGGCCCAGCTCTGGTCTCCACGGGACAAAAGTGAGCTCCCAGTGGGTCTGCAATGAGGGAGCAGATGGCCCTGGGCTGGTGACCAATTCCAGGAGCAGCCTGGACTTCTGATCTCAGCTTGGTCACAGGAACCCCGAGAAGGTGAGGATGATACCATGGTGACACTTCCCACTCACTCTTACACTTGAGTACATTTCCACGTGTGTTTACAGTGAACTCTGTGCAGAAGGGCCACGGGGCGCTGGCTCAGTCATGATGCACCAACCTGCACCCATCTGTGGTCCATCTGGGGAACTATGCACTCTGGGGACCCAGTAAACCATGCTGACAACTGACAGAGAAGAGGAGCATCCTACAAAGCGCCCTGGACTTTCCCATGCTGGCCTTTCCCATCTGGGCCCATCCCCTCTCCACCCAACGACAGTCCAGCCTGGATGCCACACTCAGCCGTCACCTCTGCCTGGTGCTTCTGAGTTCTGCCATGACACATGCTGCTGTTGTCTCTGTCCCAGGCACTGGGTGTTGGGAAGAGACTATGTCCATTCTGGGCAGGAAGTCCACCCCCCGCCTCCAGCAGGACCTGTGCTTCCTCACTCCACCCATTGTCCCTTTCAGAGCCTGGCAGGGGCCACTGGAACTAAGTGTTGCCATTTTGTTTTTTGAAAGCCCAAGTTCATTTCTGGGAGCTGAGGCCCAAGGGATGTGGCCCACTCTCCCCAGCTGCTGGTCAATGTGGCCCAGTAGGTTCTGAATTGGCTCAGAGGTTGTGCACTCTGCCCACTGGCTGGGGACTCACGTTTTCTCTGTCTTAGAGAGGAATTTGGAAATGAGCTCCTTGGTGAGTGTTTTCTCCAGGTGCTGCAGCTTCCCCTCGTCCGGCAGGAGGAAGAGGGCGGTGATGTTGCCCTGGTAGTCCATGAGCAGCACCCAGCTTTGGATTGTGCTACAGTGAAACACTCGGAACATGCCCAGGCGCTTCATCATGGGCACCTTCACGGTGGTCTCCTCGTTCACGTGGAAGTCCTCTTCCGAGGTGTGCTCAGCCTCAAAGGGTTTCTCCCATTTTCCTGGGGAGAGAGGAGAGAAACAGCACCCAGGGGTGGGACTAAGGTCTAGGGGATTGAGGTGGAGTAAAGGAGCCTGGGCAGCCATGGTGACATCCTGTGCCCTGAGCCTCAGCTTCACGCAGTGCAAAAGGGGGCTTTGGAGGCCACTGGGGGGCAGAGAGAGGGCGATTCTAGACCAGGAAGGATCTGGAGTTTCCAGACCATGTGGGCTGAGGGGCCATCCTGACTGTACCTAGCAAGCATTTTTATTTGGATTTTATATTTTATATTTATTTAAGGTTGGCTTGCAGATTGCAGGTAAAAATTTTTGTTACCTTGCCTGTGCTGTACTAATGTGCCTCGCTTCCAGGCCATCAGGGAGGGCAGGTGACTCTGGAACCCTTGAGCCCACCTTTCTCACCAGATAGGGCTCACTGGGGCTGGAGGCAGGGCAGGAACTGCCCCAAGTCATGGCAGAGCTGGGACCTCAGTTGTGCTGACTGTGACCTGGGTGCTCTGCACCGCCGGACTCTGCCCAGGAATGGGGAGACAGGGAGGGGAGCCCCAGGCCTGGCCTTGATCCCCACTTCTCTCCCCCAGGCTGTTTCCCTGGGGCTGTGGAAGCTGCCATAGAACTGGGATTCTTGGGGTCCTGACCCTCCTGTCGCTCATAGGCAAGCAGGCAGGCTGGCTGAGGACTGCGGTTAGTGGGTAGCTATAAGTGTCGCACCCAGGCCTGTGTGTTATGTAACCTAATGTCTCCTTTTAAAACCTGACAACGATGATATTGTTTTGTCCATGAAAAGATGGGACAATTCTTCTTCAAAGAGGTAGAATGACTTGTCCAAAGTCAAGACTAATGAGTGGTAGCAGTGGGATTTAAAACCAAGTTTTTTTTTCTTTTTCTTTTTTTGGTGTGGTAATGGGGATTGAATCCATGGTCTTTGCAGTGAGTTAAATCTCCAGCCTTTATTTATTTAACTATTTAATTTTGAGACAGGGTATCAAATTGCCCAGGCCGGGCTCACGTTTGCAATCCTCCTGCTTCAGCCTCCCGGAGTGCTGGGATTACATCCCTCTTAGGGATTCCCCATGAGCATTAGGATGATAAAGACTCACTCAGCTTAGGCCCATGGTGCAAACTTACCTCTAAAGAAAATGTAATTCACCAGGGCAAGAACTGTGTCTTTGTCCAGGACTTTCACCAAATCTACAATTTTCCCTTTGGTTCTCCTCTGCACATAGATATTGAGCTGTTTTACAGCATCTTCGGGGTTGCTGAAGTTGACAGGGAAGGCTTCTGCATGGTAATGGTTCCTGGTTTCCTCTAAAAACTTAGCAGTGAACCTCAGGGTCTGGTCCACAAAGAGGCCGTTGCCAGTGGTCAACTCGCGCTCGCTGTTGGGCGTGTTGAGGATGTGGAGGAGGTCCTTGAAGCCCTTGTGGATGTCAGCCTCAGCTACCTCTGTGAGGTTGAACTCCAGGCCCTGCAGGATCTGGGCATGAGTGTCCCCCTGGGCCCCCAGGGACAGCATGGCCAAGGCGGAAGCGATGCTCACAGGAGAGAAGAAGATGTTGCTGGTGTTGGACTGCTGTGCCAACACCTGGTATATGCTGAAGGCAAACTCAGCCAGACTCGGGGCGATCTTGTGGCCGGAGAGGTGCTCCAGGTCGTGGCTGTGTGCGTGTGTTTCTGTCACCTGACCATCCTCAGCCAGACAGCCAAACACCAGGCAGCACAGGCCTGCCAGGAGCAGAAGACCCTGAGAGACAGAGGATGGCATGGTCCTGCAACACAGAGAAGGGGCACAAGAGCCCTGCATCAGGATCCATCACAACTCCCACTGGCTCCATGCAGCAGCAGCCATGGTTTATTAACCATTTGCAATGTGTCCAATCTGTGCCAAGCATTGCCCCACACACCACCATTTAAAAAACCAGAAAAACAGCAAAAGGATCACAATGCTATCCTTCTGCTGAGCTTGGTCCTCAAACTACTACAACTCTTTGCTGTCTTGTAACACTCCTATGGGGAAACTGTTAAAACTCAGGGAAGCCAAAGGCCAGAGAGGTTCCGGCTTACTTCCCAGGTCAGCAAGTAAGTGGCAGAGGCAGAATCAGAGCCACACAGCAGCCAGTCTGGGTCCTGAGCCCATGCATGCCTTTAACAGCTCTGCTTTCATCTACAATGACCTTGAGGTAAAGATGACACTTTCCTCATTACACAAAAAAAGAAACTGAGGCACAGGAAAAGTAGTGAACTTGAGCACAATTTCAAGGGCAATCTGGCAAAATCAGGGTCAAGAATCACTTTGAGTCTTTGCTGCCCAGAGCAGCATGGATCAGGCCCAGGACCCAACCTCCTCTCTAAGTCTCATTTCCTGTCTTTAATCATTAATTTGCCTTGTGCTGTCATGGCTCACAGGAGACCAGGACCCACTGTAGGGGTTCTGGTAACATCCCCTTTCTCTGTTCCCTACATAAAACTATTTACAGAAAAGCTGGGCATGGTGGTGCATGCTTTTAATCCCAGCTACTTAGGAAGTTAAAGAGAGAGGATCATGAGTTCAAGACCCTATCTCACAAAACAGAACAAAGAATCACTTTGAGCCAGAACAGCCCCTAGAGGGCACCCATCCAACTCTGCACAGCACATAGGGAAGCATGGGCACAGGGGCCCAGCCTGAGGTCGTGGGGAGCTGTGTAAAGTCCTGGGGTCGCCACACACCCCTACAAGGGCCCCCCAAATTGGAGGCTTTTCCTGAGGGCACAGCATGAGGTTGGGCTGAGATTCCTGCAGTCAGCTTCCCACCATCTCACTCTCGTGGCCCAGATCTGAGGAGGACAGAGGGGCTCATTGCTCCTTTAAAATGAGGATCAAGAGCTAGGGATTTAGCTCAGTGGTTCCCCTGTCTGCCTCACAAATGCAAGGTCCCAAATTTGATCCCTGGTACCTAAATAAATAAATACATAAATAAATAAAATGAGGGTGGATGTGGGAAGGTGGGAGGTGGAAAACTATTTCTTAGCTTCAGACAGTTGTGAGTTCCAATCTAGGCTGTCACTTGCCAGCTCCGTGAGCCAGGACAAGCCGTTGAAATGCTGTGGTCTTCGCTGTGCCTCATCTGTAAAGTGGGGTTTTAGGAAGGTTCCGTGAAATAGATATGGACATGGAAGGGCTTGAGGGTTGCAGGGAGGTCACTGCAGGTGACACAAACTCAAAGCCCTCAGGTGACAGGCAGGTGAGGGCTGTGCATTTCATGGCTCAGGGAGGCAGCAGGGAGTGGCAAGGCCTGGGGCTGAACCAGCAAAGACAGGCTCTGTCTGAGTTGTTGTCACCCGTGGTAGCACAGAGCCTGCCTGCCTCACAGAGCTCCCTCTACTCCACATCTTTCCAGGCCACAAACTACTGGTCTGCAGCGCCCTGGGGACAACCTGCTTTCTTTAAAGATGGGGAAACTGAGGTCCGAGTTGCAGAGAATGTACCTGAAATTGCACAGTTAGCTATTAGTCTCGTAACTAAAACCACCGTCTCAATAGAAAGAAAGGTATCTTTGAATTGGGGGTTTGAAAACTTGAGGGGAAAAAGTCGGGCATAAGAGACACTGAGTTTCAATGTACTCTTGACCTTTTGAGAGTTTCTTTCCAATTAGACAAAAAAAAGAAGAAGAAGAGGAGGAGGAGGAGGAAGAAGCAGCAGCAGCAGCAGCACAAGACTGGTTTCTTTCTACCACCTTTTTTCCTGGGGATTATACAGAATACATGTTTATATTTTTCTTATACTAGCCACTGTGGAGAACTGAAGACAGTGCTAAAAAGAGTTCTGTGTATTTCCATCACCCTTAGATTTCACCTTCTTTCTTCTCTAGAGTTTGGTGCAGCCCTGTGGAAATTCCTCATCCTTGCAGGGAGGGAGCTGGATTATGGCGGGTCGGGACATGAACCATGCCAAGGAGCCTCAGAGCCAGAGGCTGTGGACAGCGCCACTACAACATACATGGCCTTGAGCAGCACCTGACCCTGCACTACCCCCAGCTGAACCAGTGAGGGCATCAGAGCATGGAGACAGTTGAAGTCAATGTCACCCACAGCAGGGCAGAGCTGCCTGCCTACAGAGTGTCCTCTACTCTGGCTACGTCCAGGCCATGAACCACTGGTCTGCAACCCCCTAAGAACCACTCACTGGAACAGGCCTGGCATTTCCTACCACTCGGATCACAGGCGGAGACAGCCACATCCTCAGGGTTCAGGCTCCATGAATGTCAGAACTGGGCTCCACTTTCATCTCTAGCACCCTCTTGGGCTCATTCTGCACCTCAGTCTGTTCCCTCAAACCTCAGCATCCCAGGACCCTGGCCTATGTCCAAGGTGGACCCCTGCACCCCTAAGCCTAGAGCTGGGGAGGAGAGAGCAGCAGTGAACCTCCCACAGGTACAGACCCAGGCCAGGCAGCCAGCCGAGACACTGGGGTTGGTACAGGGACAGGTCTGGAACCCAGGGCAGGTGGGAGCAGTCTTTGTGAGGTGGGGGGTACAGAAGTGGGCCACCCCCCGGTCTCATCTCCCACCATTTCCACCCAGGAGCATGAAATGAGTGGCCAAGAGCCATCTGTCTGGGGAGGTGACCCTGGCATAAGGTCCCAAGCTTTTGAGACCCAGCATTGAATCAGACAGGACCCAGGTCCACCACTTCCCGTCAGGTGGGCTTGGACAAATGACTTCTCCCTTTGGGCCTCACTTCCTGGGGAAGGACACCTTCCAGTGTGCCCCCTGGAGAGGAAAGCCTTTGCAGGAAGAGGTGCAGCACCAGAGGGTGACCAGCAGGGGCCACCAACAGGGGTAGGAGTCCTTCCTGGGGTCGGCAGATTTGAGGTTTCTTTCTGGGCATTGTTGTGTTGCCTGGGGCCAGAGAAGGGACTCCTGCTCAGCAAGGGCCTGCCTCGGAGTCTGGCAAATGTCACCTCCATTCTCCTAGTACTCATGCATTGCCTGCTGCCTGAGTCTATGCTAAGCAAACATGGGCAGCAGTGTGACCATCGCTGACCACTTACTAACCATCACGTGCCGGCTGTGCAGTCTCACCCAAGCATCCCTCACAGTTTACCTGGTCAGGTGGAGACTGTCATTAGTCCCATTTCAAAGGTGGGAGAACTGAGCTCCCTACAGGTTAAGCAACTTACTAAAAGCCACAGAGCCAGCTGCCTATAGAACTAAGAGCTAACCTTTAACGCCAGAACTAGGCGGTGGACCCTTCTCTATGTTCACTCTCGGAGTCAGGAAACCTCTGAGGTGGCCTGGCTAAGCGAAGAGAGGTAATATCTTTGTGGCTAAAATTAGAGGCTCTGAGGCTGGGCTGCTGAGTCCAACTGTATTCACTGAGTTACCTTGGGCAAGTTACTCACCCTCTCTGAACTTCGGTTTCCTGGAGGTGGTAGGGTGCCTCCAAACATCTTTACAGAGCTATTGTGCAAATATCTGCGCCCAGTGTCAGGAATGCCTCTAAGCGCTCAAGAAGGGCCAGTTGTTATTGACAATGCTGGGGATCTCTGCTCAGGGTTGTGTGGGAATCTGGCCGCACTGGAGCCCTGTCTCCAAAAACCAGCGCGAGAAAAGTCAGCTCTTTCTAACTCTGCAGAGATCAAAGTTGGTTGGGCTGAGGGGAAGAGGGCAAAGATTATCTTGTTTTGCTCAAGAGGGCAGAAAGGTTGAGCAACTATCTGAGGTCACAGAGGGGCCTCAGGGGCAGCCCGGGCTTCCTGCTCCACAGCTAAGGCTGAGACCCAAGGTCAGGGGGCTGGGCCTGCACCCTGCCTGGTGTGCAGCAAGGGATTTGGAGCAAGGTTTTTTGGGGGTACCGGGGATCAAACTCGGGACCTTGCACAGGCGCAGGGAGCGCGCAAAGGCCACTGGGGAGAGGAGGACCTGAGGTTGGTCCTCGGTGCACCTGGGAGGAGGAGGGTGTGGGCTGGGCCGCCTCCCCTCCCTCTCTGGCCGGAACTCCTTCCTCATCTGCCGAAGGGAAAGGTCTGCACCCAGGCAGCGCCGAGGGGGAGGCTGACGAGGGCAGGAAAGGCCCAGGAGGACAGGAGCCAGGCACACAGAGCTCTGCTCCTGTCACCACTGCGGCTGTACCTTGGCTCCCCAGTACCTCTCTCTCCTCCGCCCCTCACCAAGAGGTCTGGGCCTGCCCAGGAAGCAGGAAAGGACCTTCAGGACTGCATTACTCTGACAGCAGGAGGCGCATCTGCATCCCTCCCTCCAGGCCCTGGGTCTGCTGCCTGCCTGGTGGTACAGACCCAGAAGCCCCAGCGTCCCTCCCCAGGGAAAGGCAAACTTACGACTCTGTCCCAGGGCCGGCGGGCACTGGAGGTGGAAGCTGAGGAGACAGAGCCCTGTCCTCATCTGTTATTTAAGGAGCGATGCAGAGGGGCGATGGGGTGGCTGCTAGTGAATATTAACCAAGGTCACCTCCTAGGTATTGGGGGAACAAACAGACAGGGCCTAAGTTCACGGCCCGGCTCTGGGCTGGCCGCCCACGCTGCCTGCCATGCACTCTGCCCGGCAGCCATGGCCCTCGCTCCATTACCCAACCTGACTCATCTGCCACACCATGGCGTCTTATCCCCAAGGCATGTGGCTGGCCTGGGTCAGACGAGCCCTGGGATGGTGCTTGCTTGGCGGGCCCTTTACCCTCACTAGGGAGGCTGCCCCTCTGGAAGCAAATCCACCATTTATTGAGCCAGCTGCCTTGAAATGCCAGGTGCTGAGGACTCCCTCTCACCCTGGGAGAGTCACAGTGGGTTATGAGCCCATCTGACAGGTGGGGAAACTGAGGCCCAAAGCAGGGAGGCTGCTCTTCAAAAAAGCACTCAGCTAGCTTTGTACACCAAAATCCTCTGGATTTCCTCTACAAGAAAATGGAGCATGACCAAGGGAGACAGAGCTACAGCAGGCTGGCACAGGACGCTCTTGGGACAGACTAGAGCCAGAAGAGTAAATCTAAAGGCTGTGCCTCCCCAGGCAAACACCTTCACCTCTCCGAACCAGGAGGTGTTTTCCTCTGCATCATAGAGCATTGGAAGTCCCTCAGGAAAGTGCCAGGCACACAGTAGATTCTGTCTTTGGCTCTGTCCAGTCCTCTATTCCGCTGCCACTCGGCTGCTCCGAGCGGCAGGAGGTTCCCCTTCTGGCTGGTCCCAGGCCCCTTCTGTTCAGGCCACCTGAATTCTCCTTGGCAACATGGCTCCACCCTGGGGCTGATCCAAGCCGTTGATGTGCTGCTGCTGCTGCTGCTGGCTCTGTGGTGGGGTGCAGGGTTGGCTAATAGGTCCCCACTTGATTTCAATCCTTTTGAAGCTTCAACCAGACCCCAACACCCCTATGCACTGAGCGGCTCCTTGCTGAATGGCTGAGGGTGCAGCTCTCTCACTCTCTGGTCCCTGTGAGTTGAGGGGAGTCTGGCCCTCTGTACCCCTGGGCACGTGTCAGCCTCTGGGCCTCTGTTTTCCAGTCTGTACAGTGGAGTCCATTGGGGCCAGCTATCTGTCCTGTCTGCCCCACAGTGTGGGAAGTGGCAGGTGCCCCATCTTCCCTGCTCTCCCAAACTTGGCCTCTTCAGGTGGCCCTGGGGCTGCCCATCTGCCTCTCTGCCTGGGATTCCTGGTGGCCTTGGAGCAGGTTTCTCTCCTATGGCTGCCAGCTGCTGGCTGCCCAGCTCCTTGGCCAGCTCAAGGGCTGCAGCAGGGAGGCTGGGCATGTGAACCCCAAGCTTCCCATCTGCATGGCTCTACCTGGAAGAAGGGAGCCCTGGCTGGCAACGGCATCAGTTCTAGGAGGGCCAAAGGCCTGGGGCAGGAAGGGGCCTTACTTTTGCCAGGCAGAGGCCAGGCTGGCCCTTTCTGGCCCAGGCAGTCTGTGTGTCACCTGCAGTACTTGTTCTGTCCAGGCTGTGTGACCCAGGACATCACCCACACCAACCCTGAGGAGGAACCGTCCCCTAACCCATAGTAGAGGAGCAGTCGCACTGGTTCAGGACTATTGAGATTGACAGCCTCACCCTCCTGGCATGGAGCCCGATGGGCACCAGGACCTGGGTAGGTTTCCCAGGCCAGGTGCAGAGGGAAGAAGACAGAACCTCTCTGAATTGCCCAGTGGAGTTCCAAGGCTATGGAGGGTCCATGTGTACGGGTGGCATGTGTCACAGGCCTGGCGGGGATCCCAAGGGGGCCTGGGCATTTGGAGGGGGAATGAGGATGGGGGGGAGTGGCAACCGCTGGGACAAGCGAGGGGCTCGGGCCTGGGGCCCTTGCTCTTTTGGGTCAAGGGCTCTATGCTCAGCCCTTGATCACTAGGAAACGCACCATGGGAAGAAGGGTTAGGATATGAACAAAGATAGAACCTCAGGGGTAGGGGGTGACCAGGCTGCTCTCCAGGGTACTGACCCACAGGCCCAGGATGCAGCGGGAAGTCAGGTCTGCTGATTCCTCTGGAATTCTCTGTTGCATCATCTGTGCCGCATCCCTGGGAGCAGATGCATCATGGGAAGATCCTGGAGCCGGACAACAGGTGAACACGGAGGCCTGGAGTCTGAGCAGGGAGTGGTGGGGATAGGGAGCCAGCAGATCCAGGACCCAGGACGAGGGCTGCCGGGGACAACCACAGTGGAGGTGGGGCAGCTGCCCCTGGGCAGAGCTCCTGGGACAGTACGGGTACCCACACCCCTCCCAGACTCCAGACTCAGCGGAGGGCGTTGTGGGTCTGGGACTCAAAACTACGAGTCTGAACTCAGGCCTCACCTCTACCTCTCCTTCTGTGGCATCTTGGGCCACGTAACTGGGCCGTGCCTCAGTTTCCTCATCTGGGAAGTAGGGATGAGGATAGTCATTTCCACCAGGGCAGGGAGGAGCACAGAAGCTCCTGGCTCACGATGGCCCTGTCATCCCCACAGGGACGTGTCCTGAGCCTGCAGAGCCTTTCCGATGGGTCCTGGGATGGGGGGCTCCGTGGAGGGGAGCAGCACTGTGTCAGGGCTCCGCAGACTGGAGCTGCCATTTATTCACAAGGCTACTGCTCTACCTCCCGGGCGTTTGTGCTCCTGCTGCTTCCGGAAGGAAGGCACAGGGCCAGTGTCTTAGCAGCTTTCTGAGCACGTGTGACGGGCAGAGCATGTGGGGGGCCTGAAGCTAGGCAGCTTAGACTCAGGGGAAGGGTTCTCTGAGCCTCAGCCTCCCCCTGTGTGAAATAGAGTGGGGTCCTTTCCTCACGTATAGTGGTGAGGTTGAACGAGGTGCAGGGGCAGGATAAACAGTCTGTTGTGCAGCAGAGTGGTACAGAGTCCGTCTCCCCTTAGCTCATTTAAACTCGGATGTTCGGATTTTATCTTCTGGGAGAGGAGCTCAGTTGGCACCTGGCTTCTCCTCCTCCTGGCATCTGGCAAATTGACCAACTTGCAGCATCCTCTGGACTCCTTCTCCTTATGTACATAACCCTACTGAGCCGCTTCTTGTGGGGACCATTTCGGCTTTGGAACTACGGCTCCTCAAGCTTCCTGTGTCCACTTCCCACGCTCACTCAGCACAGGAAGCAAGGTGAATGAATGGCAGTGCGGTGACAGCAGGAACCAAAGTCACATCCGTAGCTTCGTCCCCTTGTTCAAATTAGTGAACCTGCTGTTTTATTACAACTAATCTTTTTGACATTTTAACTTTACTCTTTCGTTCTGAATGATGGTGGCCATTATGAACTTGCAGCTTTTAAGAGACTCAACCTGTCTTATTTAACTATCATCATGATTTCCCTTTTGATGGTCAAACTGTCACCTTTTGGCCAGGAGGAGCCCCTTTACGTGATCTCTTTTCGCCATGCAGCAATGCCCCCTGATGTTTCTTGGAGCTCATGTCTCTAGGATGTGATGCCCAGGCCCACCTGCCTTCATTTTCTCCTGTGTGACAAAAGTCCTTCCAAGAACCACAGGAGGGCTGGGTGTGCAGGACCCACCCACTCATGGGGGCCTTTGGGGCTTGTTATTCCAAATCTGAGCCCTTGTGGGTGGCTCAGACAACAGATAGCCATGGCCCTTAGAACTTGCCCAACTCAGACTTTGGCTGGAACTGTTTCCACCGACTCTATTGACCTTTTCATGTTGACTTTGAGTGTTTCTGTTTGCTCTTCTGTTTGCTCAGTGATACTGAGTCTCTCCCAGCTGTCATTTTCCACTACAAATCCCCAAAACTGACTCCAAGACAGGGCATTGCACACTTGGGACCTGCCAGCTCTCTTTTAACACTTAAGTGTCTTAATTCACACAATCCCATGCGGTGGGTGCCACTGTTATTACCTATAACCCCCCAAAACATGAACAAGGTTAAAATAAAGTAGATATTGTTTAATTCAGGCACAGAATAGATGTGCAAATTGGGAACCCACAAGCTCAGTATAGAAGCCCTGTGAATTCTTCCCCACATTCCCAAAGGACCAAGGCTTTTCTATGAAGAGGAACATTCTTTTAGGTGAACAGGATTGACCTAAATTCAGAGGCTAGAAACAACTCAAGCCAGGTGAGCGAAAGTTTTATCCATTGGAGTGTTCAGGTCCAGTTGGCCAACCTAGTACTTCTCAAACTGCAAAACTGTTAGATTCTGGAAAACTGTTCCTTTTGCTTCAGTTCTGGACATGATGTCTTGTTCTCTCTTTGACTGTTTTTGGAGGTGCTAGGGACCAAACTGAGGCACTCCAACAAGCTGCATCCTCAGTCCCCCTTTTTTCTTTTTTGAGGCAGTGTCTGGGTGAGTTGCCCAGGTGGCACTTGAACTTGTAATCTTCCTGCCTTTGCCCCCACTAGGTACGGGGAGGCTCAGCCCACTCTGCTCTTTAGGTGGCCACTCCTTAGACCAGATAGAGGCACAAAGGCACAGGGTCAGCACGGTGCTGACAGCCCACCCCTCCCTCCCTGCCTCTTCCTCTGTTTGTTGCCTCCCTCGTGCTTTGCACTCGCCCTTTATAACGTCATCAAACAGCTGACAGTCGCCGAGCACGTGGCCGGTGCCAGGTGGCATCCTGAGCCCTTTCCACGCATGGACTCCCCATCCTCAGATCCTGCCCGTGAGGCCCAGGCCTTTGTGATCCCCATTCTACAGATGAGACAAGTGAGGCCCTTGAGGTCAAGCAAGTAGCTCTAGGTCACCACTGGGCTGGTAGGGGTAGACGGGTCACTAATCCTGCTGAGGGACTTCAAATCCCCTGCATGCAGGAACTGTGTGTTTTCGCTTCTCTGATTTTATGCTGAGCACAAAATAGGTGATCCAAGGAGGATTTGGGAACTGAGTTCATCGGGGAAAGTAGAAATGGAGCATTTCTTTTGTCAGGTATGTTAAGGTGTTTTGCCAGGTCAAAAGTCTGCAGACTTTTAGAATGCTAACTGCTTGTGTGGGGCACACAACTTCTCAGATTAAAATAACA